TGTATTCGTTATTCAGTGAAAAATAACTGCAATTTTACAACCCTTCCCTGTTTCCAGGTCAGCTGTGTCACCCATCAATGCGCCAGCTTTCAATTAGGTGCATATGTATGGAAACAGTTAAGGCCCCGAATTCCCGGGTATCTACCCGTACCTTATAAGCTGGGATGGCAGGAAGTAATCGACCTAAATTATCCCGCTAAGGTTAATCAAATGTCATACTAACCACTCAACTAATAAAAACCCTTCTCTCACCTTGGTTAGTGCGGTGGCATTCAGGTATTTCAGCCCTTACTGTCTGTGTGGTTAGTAGACAACTGATCAGTTTCAAGAGTCAGTTGGTGGCTGCTCCCGAAAACCCATCCTTATGCTAAGAGGGATGATAAAAGCCCCACTGCTTTTAGTGTTCATTAGCGGCCGTTGGTGCAGTTACCAGGCTGGACCTTATCATTGACCTGCAACCCAAACCAAAGATATAAGCAAGCACGCCGGCGAACTCAGTCTACATACTAGGGGAGTCATCAGGCATATCTCCTACTGCTTTTATCATACTTCCCTTCAAAAACATTTTGCCCACTCCTATGACATATCAAACAGTAAATCAACGTAAGACGTGCCGTGAGCTACAGGGTTAGGTACCTTGGAAGGTCTACTAATATCTGGTTAGCGACACGATTACCAAAGCTAAGTAGATTTCTTCACTTCAAAACCCTAGGGCTGAACGGAAAGACAGTGAATCGGTCCATAGGTTGGAATATGTTTATCAGCTGGAACCACTTGAAGATCCACCTTCGTACAACTAAACTCCCGCCTCGTAAGCACTAGAATAGTGGGGTACTAACTTGGACAGTGACCCAAAATACGATACCCATAAGAATCACCGGCACACCAGAAATCCAACTCAAGACTGATGAATATGAGCTGCCGGTTAGTAATTTGGCCAGCTGGTCGGAATATCCACATCACTAATTCAATGACGTGGCACTCAACTACATCAAGAGAGCCATGCTACCACCACCATCGAAGTATAGCATAGAAGTTGAGGTCGGCTGACCTTCTACAACATGTACTCCCGATGGTTTGATTCTTTGTAGTTGCTTTACATCAATCTATGTTGCTCATTAGGTAGGTGAGAATGACATAAACACCAGACCACCACCTCACTCGTTTGATATCAAGCACATTCCTAGTTTATCTAAATATATTGCCTTGAAGAGAAAAAACTCATTATGAAATTTACTCTGTGACTGTGAAGTTTGAATTTTATACCGAAATATTTTCTGTCTAAAAGTTTTGACGTTTATTTTTAATATTTTCAGTTCAAACCAAAAGTATATGCTTCCAGTTGTCAAGTAGTCTCTTGACAGAAATTATTGTTACTGTTTTAATTCATTTAGAACGTGCAAATCAACCTGATTTTCATTTGGAAAGTTTTGATTTCAGCTGTTCTCATGTATGCTTTGAAAAATATTAACAATAAAAGTATTCCTAGCACAAATTTATCTCATCCTAATGCATTTATTCATATCCTCAGCACTTTGATATTAGTGGACTTGAAATAATTTTAGTATTTATATTTCAGAAAGCTATTCACCAAGGGGTGAGATCAGCTGGAGAATCAGTGAAAACCTGAGAGAGCTGTACAGATGTTTCGTCCTGGCATGTGATTCCTCAGTAGTTCGTATCCACGACCCCTGTATTGATCGAAACCAGGACCTTCAGGTTCCATAGTGAACGTGGTGACCAATGAGTCATTTGGTCAGAGTTTGATGGTCCACAGTTTCCTACTTCTGTCAACCTGAGGGTCCTGAGTTCGATCCCTAGCTGATCATGGTTGAGTGCTGTTGAGAAGTCACAAATTAGGATGAAATAGCTGTCCAATCCTTCCGGGTTTTCAGTGGTACTCCAACTGGTGTCACTCCATGATGAATGTCACCCCAAAATTAAAATCCTCATTCACCTCAAACTACATTATTTTATACCGCTTCCAGGAGGATAACGCGAAGTTCTAATGCGAAGCCGTGACCTGTGTGGTCAACCAGTTGAAAGGGAAGTGGATGCCATCTGGAAACCTTGAGTAATATTCCAGCTATATTACAAGGTGACAGAAGTAGGAGACGGTGATGCATGGAACTCCGACCCAGTGGTTGGATGGTTGACGCGTTCACCGTGAAACTGAAGGTCCTAAGTTTGATCCCTTGCAGGTGGGGTTGTGGGTGCGTACTGCTGAGGAGTCCTACACTAGGACGAAACAGCTTTCATTGGTCCTCCAATTCATGTCAGTTTATGATGATCACTACCTTAAAACTCAAATTCCCATTGACCTCAAAATACATAAAATAGTGATTACCTGAACGCGTACTTCACCAGACAGTATGTACAGTATTCTACTAAAAATATGCAGTGGAAAACTATCAAAGTAAATTCGGTGAAGTTTACATTCCATATGATGTAATTTTTTACTCAATCGTCATTTCAGGCAACTCAAAAACCGATACCAGTGTTAGTTCAATGCTTAAAATCAAGGCATTTCGTCATATGTTCAGTGAGCAGTATAGGACTGTAAATGGTATATGACGGCTATTTTTACTGATAAATGGTAACAAGCTACAGATATAATTTCTAGTTATATAAATATTGAAAACAGGACAACGTTTACTTAGATGTTGTTTTTATTCTGCATCAAATAACCTACAGTAGACACGGTTTTATGGGTTATTCATTTTTAACAGGACAGTTATGCAGTAATGAAACATGAATGAACAAACTAATATCTTTCACACTTGAAGTGTTTGCCTACAATGAATCGGCTCAAGAGGTTGTTTACGCATTAGCTTTCTATGACTTTCACTGTGGTGGAAACGAATGTATACTAGATTCGGTAAGGGTAACTTTCCAATTTAAACTCTGAAATGATATTCTAACTCAGTAAACAAAGATTTTTAAGTATACTCACTTAGTACTCACCAAGAACTGGTCTCATTTGGAGAATCACTAAAGACATCTGAGCAGTGCATATTTGTTTCGTCATAGTATGGGACCCTTCAACAGTCCCCATGCATGACCCCACCATAACATGAACTCAGGACCTCCAGGTTCCATAGGGTTAATAGATAAATGTGTACCATTGGATTCCGCGGAAAGTGAAGGTGTTGGGTTCCACCCCTGACGAGGTCTTATATGCTCATTGCCAAGGAGTCCGACACTTGGAAGAAAGAACTGTTGAGTGCTCTCAGGTTTTCAGTGGTTCATGAGGCATTTTCATTTACGGAACTCTATTTGCACGGCGGTTTCCGGATCGTTATCTAGAGCATGAGCTGATTATTTGTCACATTTAGTTGCTTGATCTTCTGTTCCCATACACTGAGTCTCTGAAAGGTTGCTCCACATTCTTGTACATTTATTCATTTTAGATATTATTTTATATCTCATTTCCACTTACTTAAGAGTCCCTTTGCATAACTGCCAGAATCGCTCAATGCTGACATTGCTGACTGCAGCACTGGGTAACGTGGGTATGAATCTTGAGGAGGGAATCAGTTCCTTCCAGGTTGCAGGTGCCCCTTGCTGAATTGTGCCAACGAACAAGAAACCTGTGTCAACCAGGCGTGTCTACCGATTCTCTTTGATCAACTAACGTTCATCAAAGTCCACCATGATTATAAGCCTCCTAGCTTGGTGGCCACATGACGAGCTGCTCGTTAGAATTCGGTTACTCTCTTCTAACCAATCAAAGTATAGGCGGTTAGAATCTGGAAAAAGTCAACTATACAGCACGAGGTTTTGTTTGTAATAATATACCATTTGAAATGTTTTTCTTATTCCGGAACTGAGACTTATTTCAAACGTTACAACAACATCTCAACAATTTCTACCGAAAGTGTTGAAGGTGATGGTCCTTTTCAGTTTATCTCCTGGGTTAATACTTTAGAACAGAATACAGATTTTAAAGTCATCTAAGAGTCATGTCCATAGCAAGGAAAGATAACAACAGGAATACTTGAAATATGCTTTGGAGGTTTTTGGGGATTTGTTGATTTCAAGTGGGCATTCATTACGGACCCATATTAGCTGGAGAACCACTGAAAACCTGAGAGTATTGAACAACTGTTTCATCGTAAAATGAGACTCCTCAGCCATGCACACTCATGGCCAAACCAAGTACCTTCCGTTTTCACTGTGAGCTAATAAACCACCGAATTGGAATCGAGTAGTCCACATTTTTTAATGTCTGCCAATTCATGATGAGGCACGACCTTCACCCAGTGCTTGAGATAAGTCTAACCTTATTCGAAGCTATGAAATACTAAATCTAAGGTTTCATCCACTGTCACAACGGTGATCTGATAGCCATATATCTGTGAGTTCAGCCTTTACCTTTAAGGGAAATCAAGAGAGGAGAAGTAGCGAAAGGTTAACCATTTTATAAGACAACAGTTTGATATCATCTGTATTTCTGACTTTTTTTAAGATATAACTTTCCTCGCTGCAAGATATCATTCCGACTAATCGTAATTAGAAGCCAACAGCAAGAAATACTTTTCAGCTGCTGACTAATTAACTCTTCATTTTCCTTTACAAATCTTTTAATTTTGATAAATTTTAACGGTTGGTGAACAAATCGAATTTGATGAGTATGTCTTTCATGCTACATAAATCACTGTTAACGAAAACGGTGAAAACAACCTGATTATATTTATAAGTTTAATGTGATAATAATTTTGGAAAGCAATATGAAAAGGTATTTTAATATTTGTTAAAAAAACGAAAAGTGTATTTTTGATTGGTTAGAAGTAAATGCTACCTACACCCTGTATTGACCAATCATGTTTCAAGGTCAGAGAGAAGTGGAGTTCACTTCACACTTCTGTATTATTGGCTTAAATAAATCGGTAAACACTTCAATCATTTGAAATTCTATCTAGCTGACGTTTCATGACACTGATATTATGATTTAATCATACTGACAATGGAGTTTAGCATGAGTTATCCGTTTGGCAGTAATGACTGAAACAACTAGGAAAATTGTCGTTGTTGGAGATGGAATGGTTGGAAAAACTGCTTTGTTGTCAGCATTTGTTAATGGTGCATTTCAGGATTGTTATATCCCAACTGTATTTGAAACAGCAGCTAAAGAAATTGAACTATCCGACGGACGTCATTTAACTCTAGGTTTATGGGATACAGGAGGTCAAGAGGAATTCGATCAAATCCGACAACTTGCTTATCCTGGTGCCAGTTTGATTCTTCTATGTTATGCTGTGGACTGTCCTACAAGTTTGGAAAATATTGTACACACATGGCTTGACGAAGTGAAATGTTACTGCCCTCAGATACCACTTATATTAGTTGGATGTAAAGCTGATAAACGTGTCGTTATTACATCACGTAAAGCTAATCACTTGTCTATGAATGCCTCACAAACCACACTTATTGATCCCAGTGATGCAGACAAGGTCTGTAAACAGATCGGTGCACAAATTGTTATTGAATGTTCCGCTTTGACAAGATCTAATGTGAATTCCATATTTGAATTAGCCGCTCGTATTATATTAGATGCAGAGAAAGAAACTATGAGATCATCGAAATTTTGCAATATTCTACCGATCCATAGGAAAAAGTCAGTTTCAAACGGTACAGTAACCGGTAAATCAGTCATCACACGTCGAAGCTCTGAACTGAAACGACGCATATCTAGTTCAAATTACTTTTGTTTCTTAAGGAGACAATGAATCATTTGTGAAGTTAGTTTGTTGAACATGTAACGAATTCTACTCGATTTAATCAAACACATAAATTCAAGGAATATATGATATCACTTTGATGTCTTTCCCTTTATTTTCCAGTGTAGGCACATATTTTCTGAAGTGAAAAACAAATTTTTTTCACAAAAAAGTTCAAACGTAAATTGAAATGTCTTTCATTGATATTGAACAAGAGGAAAGTATGTACTCATCAGAAAATTCTTGGTATCCAGGAGATATTGATCTCTACTCAGTCAGTCTAATTTTCATCTAAATCTTCATGTCTGAGTATGATTTTATATAAAGAATCCTGACAAAGTATTAATTCATACATCACTTTTTATGAACCATTTGATGTACAGCAGATGACACTCACTGGTAGGTGTGTGCGTGTGTGTGTGTTTGTAAACGTCAGTCTTCGTGCTTTACAGGAGAAGATCGACAACAGTTTATCGATACACAGTATAATTATGTACCAGTGAAGTCAGTTTTTATTTTAATTCATCAACTGATATTTCTTATTTGAATATATTGTCTTGACAGTTTGATATGAATACTAATAACTTATTGTTATCGTCATCAACATTATTCAAGAATTTCGTATTCCTTAATCTCGTTAGTGTTCCTATGGACAGCAACCGGAAGTGATTACAGTAGGAACGTTTCGTCCTTACTGACACTCATCAGCTGTGTACACTGAAGCACAGTACCGAGTTTACGTGCTGAACGTGCTGTAGTTAGTACACTCTTGAAACCCCAGTGATATGAGGATCTATGCTTTCTGATCACATCGGATATTCAGGTCAAAACACCCTAAACTAAATGCATTTCACTGCACAAGTTCTCCGCAGCCGTATAAAGTGTGTTAAAATTTCGATTTCGTAAATTAGAAAAAACCCACAAACGTGCGTTACGTAAGTTGAGTTTGTTATCTTTGTATTCAAAATTATTATTGTTATTATTCGTCCTTTGGGTTCCTAGTGAAACATAGGGCTTCAGTAGCACGTCTCCATTTTTCACTCTGTCCCCTGTAGTCTTTTCTTTCTACCTGGCTCTACCACTGCCCACAAGCTTTCATTTCTTCCTCACACCAAATCGCCCATGTCAACCTCACCTCGGACGCCCAACTAGTCGTTTCCCATTTGGATTCTACTTGACGGCCTGGCATGACGTGTGATGTCTCCGAATAGTTTTCTCAGTGTATGCCCAATCCATCTTCACTTTCTTCTTGGTCAGTTGGTTCGTTGCCAGCCATAGTGAGTTCCTTGTTGCTTATTCTCATTATTCTGGCCGTCTGATCTGATCTTCAGTATCGAGCGTAGGCAGAAGTTGTTGATGATGTATGTCTTTAGTTTGTCGGAAATGCTTTTCGTGATGCGCCAAGTTTCTGAACCACTTATAGCAGCATTGACTTGACATTAGTGTTGAAAATTCGGATCTTATTCTTCATGCTGAGTGCAGTGGATCTCCACACTGATTTCAGATTGATGCAGGAAGGCCTGTCTTTCCTATAGTGGCTGGCTTTGACATCCTCATCTGTGCCTGTGCTGCCTGTAGTTGAGACGATGCCACCTAGGTAGCTAGGTAGGTAGGTGAAAGAGACAACTTCCTTTAGATTGCCCCCTTTGATGGTGATTGATGCCTGTTGTTGTTGCTGTTGTTCTTGGCTGGGTATCTTTATCACCTCTGTCTTCTCTACGTTCACCTGAAGGAAGTGCCGTCTTCGCTACCCTGCCTCTTCTGCCAACTTATTTGTTTTCACCTGTAGATCTTCGTGGTTGCGCAATATTAGACACAAACCATCATGCGCAAAATCCAAATCGTGTAGGCTCTTTTCATCGGTAAAACAGCGTATGCCCATCTTCTTGCTCCTCACGGTTTTGAAGCACGATTCAGTCCAGTCGACCATAGTCAGGAAGATCATCAGTGATGGTAGGCAAGCTTTACTTATTTCTGTTTTCACTTCAAGGGCATCACTGAGCTTTCCGTTGTAAACAGCTTAACATGTAGCATCATATAGCTGTTGTTGAATGAGTTTGATAAAGGTATGTGATACTCCATAGTGTTGTAACAGTTTCCAAATTACTTCTCCGTTGAGGTTATAGAAGGCTTTTTCAAAATCGATAAAATTGAGATACAGAGTTGACTGATGTTCTACGCTCTGTTCGTATTCAAACTTAGAAGTACAAAAATGTTTCGGAGATATGATGCATGTAACAGCGAAGATTGATTCAAGTAATTCTGTTCTGCTGACTAAAGATAACAAATGTTTGATAGTATTTAGGCGATTCAAAATCTGATTAGTGTGATTACATTATGCCGTTAAACAGACTGATAAATTGGTATGATAGGAGGGGATTATAATGATGATAGCTGTTTCTCAGTATCAGCAATTTTGTAAATGGACAGAAACAAAAGGAATTATCACATGATAACAATTCGTATATTTCCAAAACAAGAAGCGCTTTATTTCACACAGTATGTTTGATACAGTACATAATTATCAACAGAACCACTCCTTAAACAATGCTTCCTAACGAAATGATTGTTGGGACAAAGAAAGAAGGATGAAATTTGCAGATTAAGATAATATAGTAGTTTCATTTCATAAATACTCTTCAGCCGTTGCATACAGTCTAAAAGTACAGTGGTCATTCGCAAGGTACTTCAAAATTAGAAAATCAATAATCTTCAGTTGCACAACGAAATCACTGATAATTCATTTAACATGTAAAAGAATTAATTGCAAAGACGTAAGAAACATAAGAGGGAAAAAACAATCATAATGATAATCATGAATAAGTAGTGTTACTCAATTAAAATGAAAGTGAAACAGGACCGAATCCTATTAACCAAGAGAATGGGAGATCAACCAAACCCTCTTTCTTTGTGTAAACGTCAGGTTGAAAGCGTTTTATAGCAGTCGCTTCTGTGAAGCTCAATTACCCAGACATTTTCTGTATGTCGATTATTTTAAAAGCTCTAGATATGTCAACCTGATATCCTGTGTCTATGAAGTGTCTGGCGATTGCACTGGTTACGAATTTACTTCCGTTCAAGCTCAGGTTCTTGGGAATATGCTCAGCGAACCAAATGGACACTCTTCTCTCAGTCCTTTCAATGAACTTGCTACCGCAAATGCATCTGAATTCATAAATACATTTGGAGGTGATAGGAGTAGGGTAATTATCCATTTTCGACTGTTTTATTGGGCATATGGTATTGTATACTGATATAAGTCTGGGTTTTATAGTGTGTGCTGACTGAAGGTAACATGGAAATTCGGACCGTGGCCGGATTCGAACCAGCGACCATCGGGTTACCAGCCCCATACTCTACCAACTGAGCCACGAGATCCGACCACCGACCAAATCTTTATTTCACTCCAATCACAAAGGGTTTTGTCCGACTACCATGTGAAATCGTGAGATATTACTACCGCCTGATCGTATTCACACTGTCTGCCAATTGAGGACTTCTCATCCCAATCCAAATGTAACTGAATTAGAATGAGAGGAGGAGCATCATGTTGTTTATAAATTGACTATCTGAAAAAGCTGTAGTTTGGCAGACTAGTATTTATGCTGGTGATAATGATAATCAATATGATGCTCATTCTAATTCAGTTACATTTGGATTGGGATGAGAAATCCTCAATTGGCAGGCAGTGTGAATGCAATCAGGCGGTAGTAATATCTCACGATTTCACATGGTAGTCGGACAAAACCCTTTGTGATTGAAGTGAAATAAAGATTTGGTCGGTGGTCGGATCTTGTAGCTCAGTTGGTAGAGTATGGGGCTGGTAACCCGATGGTCGCTGGTTCGAATCCGGCCACGGTCCGAATTTCCATGTCACCTTCAATCACCACCCAGTGTAAATACTAGTCTACCGAACCATGGCTATCTCAGAGAGTCAAATGATAAACAAGTCTATCTGTAGGAAAGCTGCTTCTCAGTGTTTCTTTGATCCTTGCATTTGAATGATGATAACACTATAAGTATTAAAAGTAATAATGGGAAACAGTCAACCTGTGTAGGATTAGCATCCGACCAAGAGTGGGAAATGAACAGATAAGCTAGCGTAACTTGGGTGGTGGCGCTTAGTTCAGCAGTATATGAATTTCCATTTCATCTTAGTTGTACTGTGTTCTCTGAGCGGAGTTGTTTAATCGTAAAGCTTTCATCGTCTTTATCAACGACATCATCAGCACTAACTTCAGTATGAAGCTATATATCCTAGGAATAGAAATAGGGTGTATTATTGCCCACTGAATAGTCCAGTTCCAGGTAAGGTAACATTTTTTATTCGTTTTGAAACGGTTAATTGACAACATTTTAAAAATGCGCAAAAGTACACAATACGCTCAGAGGGCATATTTAAAGGATAAGACAGTTGCCATGTATATATATGCAGTGGAAATTTTCAGTAGACTAGGATTCAAGCAGACTGGCGTCAGGAAGTAAACAAATCATTTTAGGAATTTGACTAGGCTAACCGGCATTTTGTGTGCATATGCCTTCCAAGTGCATCTTCATGGTTGGATTCTACTGAGTGTGTTAACTTCTTGTCTTATTCTCATCTTTACCTTGTACACGAGAATTAAGATTGATTATATGTGTGTTTTCCTGTTTATCGATTAAGAACCTTTCGATGGTTGTATGTTACACTCCTAGACAAATTCATCTTATTCTAGAGATGGTGTTTTGATGGTATTTTTCAAAATTCTCAAGGAAAAAATCTAGAAATGACGCTGAAATTTATACTAACTTACCGCAAATATCTGGTCTCAAGATATAATGTTAACATTCTGAAAGCCCTCATTACCACGGTTTTCAGATTTTTCATCTGGAGGTTTTTTTTCCTTAATGATAATAATCGTGACTTCAGAAGTATGACTACTTTACACTGGCATGACATTTACAATAAACATAGCGAATTTGATGCTTAGCATTGTGGTGATCAAAGACAGTTATATACGTAATATTTC